TGAATGAACACACCCTGGCTCAACATACAGAGTCCCGGAGCCAGAGCGTGACAGTACCCCCCCCTAAAGGCGCGGACTGCGACCGCGCCTCAATACGGGCTAAACAAGGGAGGGCTGGGCGGGCATACCTCCTCGGAGGTTGCTCTGGCTCCGGCCTTGATCCCCACCTCCTCTCCAACCCCCCAAAGTACCCCTGGTCCTGTCTAGCCCCGCTGGCCGGAGCCGGACTGACGACACGCGCCCCTGGCTTGGTGCGTGGAGGACGAACGGGCCTTACCCGGCTGACGACGCGCACCACTGCCTTGGCGCGGGGAGCAGGAATGGGCCGGACCGGGCTGACGAAGCGCACCCCTGACTTGGTGCGGAGAGCGGGACCGGGCCGGACAGGGCTGACGAAACGCACCACAGACTTGGTGCGGGGAGCAGGAATGGGCCGGACAGGGCTGACGACACGCACCACAGACTTGGTGCGGGGAGCAGGAACGGGCCGGACAGGGCTGACGAAACGCACCACAGACTTGGTGCGGGGAGCAGGAACGGGCCGGACAGGGCTGACGAAACGCACCACAGACTTGGTGCGGGGAGCAGGACTGGGCCGGACAGGGCTGACGAAACGCACCACAGACTTGGTGCAGGGAGCAGGAACGGGCCGGACTGGGCTGTCGACGCACACCGTAGACTTGGTGCGTGGAGCAGGAACAGGCCGGGCAGGGCTGTCGACGCACACCGTAGACTTGGTGCGGGGAGCAGGACTGGGCTGGACAGGGCTGTCGACACACACCGGAGACTTGGTGCGTAGAGCAGGAACAGGCCGGGCAGGGCTGTCGACGCACACCGGAGACTTGGTGCGTAGAGCAGGAACAGGCCGGGCAGGGCTGTCGACGCACACCGCGGACTTGGTGCGTGGAGCAGGAACAGGCCGGGCAGGGCTGTCGACGCACACCGGAGACTTGGTGCGTAGAGCAGGAACAGGCCGGGCCGGGCTATGGAGACGGATAGGAGACCTGGAGTGAAGAGCTGCCACAACCCGTCCTGGCTGAATACCTACCTTCACACATTCTGTGTGAGGCATCAGCACAGGACGTACAGGGCTGTGTACCCGTACTGGCATAACAGCACGCGACACTGGCGCAGGATATCCGGGACCGAGGAGAGGCACTGGAGGCCGCGAGCGCTGATCCGGCACACTCCGTCCTGGCTGCATGCCCACCTTCGCACAACACGTGCGGGGTGCTCGCACAGGACGTACAGGACTGTGCCGGACCACTCGCGGCACAGTGCGCATCTCCGCACTCCGCGGAACCTGCCCAGTCTCATGCTGCCATGCCTGAGTACGGGGAGTTGGCTCTGCTCTCCATCCAGGCTCCGCCAACCTGCCTTCTGGCCCAGTCGCCCATGCCGTGTGCCCCCCCCTAAAAAATCCTTGGGGGTGCCTCTCGTCCGTCCGACGATGGCACTGCTGACGCCGCTGCTCCTCTCCTGCCTGGGTCTCCCCCTTCATAGCCCTCCGGTACCGGACGGCCTCCTCCTCGGTGATCTGCCCCCAACCGAGGAGGACATCCACCAGAGTCACCTCCTGCGTGTGTTCCTGGACACGCTGCTTGGTCGTTGTATGGTGGGTTTTTCTGTCACGATCGTCTAGTAGCGAAGTAGACCAAGGCGCAGCGTGTGAAAGAAACATGCTTATAATCAAGTTTCTATAACAACAAACAACTCGTGAAGTCCAAACGGTAACTACGCACGAACAAAACCCACACCCAAGGTGAAACAGACATATAATATGGCTCCCATCAGAGACAAGAGCACGCTGACAACCTCTGATGGAGTCACTCCTCAAAAGAATACACAACAGAAATACCAACATAGAATACACCGAACCACCGGCTCACATACAGAGTCCCGGAGCCAGAGCGTGACAGTCAAGATGAGTCAATATTCCTTTATCTGTTGTGAAGACCCCAATTGATGCATTAGGGTAATACAATTCCATCTTATTAGATGGTGATTTTGGGGTGAACTTCTCTTTAACCTTTTTCCAACCCTGAAATATCATCGCTTTGATTTAGTAAACAGAAAAACTATTTCCAGACATGTAAATACTGTGTGGAAGCATTTCGCTACACCCGCAATAACATCTGCTAAATATGTGTATGTGACCGATACAGTTTGATTTGATTTGATTTGGATTCAGCACTATCACTCTAATAGTCATACATCTACTTACTTATGGAGTAGTTTTATTTACCAGCTTACCTCAGAAACAGCTTACTGAGTTGAGTGTCTTTGAAATGGACAACTGACCTGGAACAGGGTCTGTTCTTGATCTATCTTTGTACTTGTTAAACAAAATCTCTGTATCTGCGCAATTGTATTCGTATAAAATAATATAATTTCCCCTTTTTTTGCAAACAATATAGCTCAGTATGTCTATTATTGATTTTCTACAGTATTTTTGCTCATCTTAATCAAGGGTGGCAATCATTCTGGACCTGACTGTGTATTAATAAAAGTTTGTGGAAAGTAGCCTACATAAATTATCTTGTGTGTTAAAGCTACAGTGCCATTGGTCCACATGCCGTAGGCCTAGTAACAACATGCAGCTGGCCTGAACAATTAGACAAAACCTACGGTCTGAAACGGACATCCTTGTTTATACGCACCAAGGTTAGTGTTTCAGTAACAGTGTTAAGGCCATCATAGAATAACATTGGTTTTCTGTGTTTAAAGATAAGGCTAACAAGCTCCTGGAATGTGCCAGCCATTGTGTGTAATGAATCTTGTTTTTAGCAATTGTGGACACAATTGAGGTTTCACTTAGTCATTGTCACTGTAAGAGTGGCCGCAGCCTTCAGTGAGTTAGTGATCTAATATTGTACTGTGGTCTGTGGAATGTGTGTGAATGTGAAGCCATGCAGTTGCGTCCCTTCCCCCTATTGTACAGACAAGAGTTTGTGTTTGTGTCCTATTCTTTTGACCTGAAACTTGACCGCTCTCAGAGGTCAAAGCCAAAGGCTCCAAACTCAAAGCATGCATTAAGCTCTTAGCAGTCTTAATTATGAATGATCTGAGGTCTGTTGTCTGCTCTCATGCTGGAAGTTCGCATAGCCAATATCATTTAGCTTTCTTTATAATTGCTCCAGGCTGTGTGTACAGTTGACAGGGTTGAGAGGGAAGAGCCTATAAATTAATGGTGTGTTCTAACTCTTCCCTCTTAATCAATACACACTATCACAAACCCAGGTGTCTAGGAGGCAACCCAGTCAAGCTGGCAGGAATTTCACTAGGTTTGCCATAGTACTTGAAGCATCTTAAGCTGATGTTGCTAAGGAGCAGCCTGGGTTTGGCTCGCCTGGGTCTTGGGTGGAACAATAAGGCTCAGCAGGGCTGTGGGCACAACCCCTCCAAGGGAACTTGAATCTGCTAATCCACTCTGTTTTCATGTGGTTGTAGCATTTGCCAACTCAACCCACTGCCTTTTTCACTTGACATGGGTCAGGAATGGCCAGCCACTACGCACACAGGGGTCTTGCCCCATAATCAAAGACCCCTCTGAGTGTAAGTCTGCAGTAATGGAGGGTACTGCCCCCCAACCCACTCATGTCACTCAGGCTGCATTCCTCCACTAATGAGCCCACCCCCTCCCTCCACTCCCCTCCTCTCCCTACCCTCACCAGCCTGCAGGGTCTGGCCTCCATAAACATCCTCACTCTCAGAGACCCCTCAGTCACTGGACATGTACGCACTGTTACTTAGTGTTGATGCTCTAAGCTTGGGTTTAGGTTACTCTTTACTCACATAGGCAAGCAGACTTGCTCTCCACAGATATCTCCCCAGATCTACAGTTGACTTGCCCAGTGCGGGTTTGGTGCAGGAGGAAGCAGACAATTCTACCCAAAATACCTTGATTGAGTGCACAGTTGAGACGTTTATCCTGTCTAGATACAACGTGGCAGAGTAAGGGCTCAGACAGACAGAACAACGTTTCTTTTCAAAGAGATAGAGACAGACAGAGAATTCTTTAATGAAGAATCTCTGTAATGCTGTATTCTTGTGCTGCTGTAAGTGGTACCACGTGTGGGTCTGCCTGCCCCAGGGTTTATAGAGATTCCTAAATCTCATTGGAGGAAGATGACAGGTTAAGCCCCTGGAACGAGGGTCTGAGATGTAGCCGGGGCCCCAGAAGGTGCTGGAAGATGAGCTTAGCATCAATAGAGTGCAGCAACCCTCTACATGGGGAGATGACCAGAGAGAGCAGTGCCAGTCACAGACACAGGCAGAGAGACAGACAGAGAGAAAGACACTTAAGAACTACTGTGACATTAAGTTCTCTGTGAAATGAAGGTTTTGCACATCATCGACCTCCTGTCAACAACAAACAAACGTTAAATCAGATATGCAATAAATCTATGGTATAGAAATGTCCCATTGAGCCTAATATGAAACCCATAAACACTTAACTTTGATGACTGTCTATAATAAAACATGGATTGTTTATTCAATGTTTGTTGTTTGTTATTTATCTGGAGTGATTCTGAGGATGATGTCAGTAGAATAAACGTGCACATGGTTGGCCAGAGTTCTCTCATTTCACTGCCTGCCTGGGGAGTGCTAGCGTCCGACACAGCTGGTGATAAGAGTTTATATTAATGGCATTGCGTTGGTCTCAATGGCTTTCATGTGCTTCATGACGGCTAGTGTTCAAAGGCGAGGAAGCATGTGGTTAATGTCCCAGGATCACTTTCTTTCCCCTGCTTTTGTTTCCTCCAAAGAAAATGGATGTATTATTCATAGAATGTCCACCTGGGAGGGAGTCATTCAGAACATTGGAACAGCTCTCCATAGACTGCTGTGAGAAGAAAACCCAAGCTCATCATACATTTTTATGAATCATAATGTTCACGGGGTGAATTGATACAAAGTGAAATCCTGACCATTGATCACTATGAGTTGCTTTCTCAGAATGTCAGTCAGAATTTGAATTAGTGATAACTGATCATTCTCCAGACTAGCTCTTTTACATTCAACCCCACGCGGTGACATCAACCCAGGCTGGGATTGCTTCCTGTAGTTGAGGGACATGAACCATGTCCAGTTCTTTTATGTCAGGAATGCTGTTTTTCAATCACTCCTGTAGAACATTTCAAACCAGTGCAATCAGTCCATTTCAACCCCTCTCTTCAACTCTGTCTCTGCTGTCAGATCTTTGGGGAGACAGAGCCGGTGCGGATGACGTCGGAGGGCTCAGACTGTCGCTGTAAGTGCATCATGAGGCCGCTGAGCAAGGATGCATGCCAGCGTCTGCGGAGTGGCAGCGTGCGCGTGGAGGACTTCTACACGGTGGAGACCGTCAGCTCTGGATCGGACTGCAAGTGTTCCTGCACGGCCCCCCCCTCCTCCCTCAACCCCTGTGAGAATGAGTGGAAGATGGAGAAGCTGAAGAAACAGGCCCCTGAACTGCTCAAGGTGAGTTGCATCAGTAACAGACACAACTGTAACTTGGTGGTAAAATAACCTTAGAACTGTAAATGTTGGTAGTAAAATCAGTTAATTGACTGTGTAAAGATTGTGACAGAGACCCTGATTGCATGTGTGTGGTTTGGTCCTGAATATATACTGTACGTAACCATGGGAGAAGCAGAAACAGGATATCCTTATAATTGTTCAAATTAAAGCTTTAAAGTATCCCAGGTTGTTACACAGACAATTTACCATGAGGTCACTGGATTCTCTATCTGTTGATAACATATCGGCACCTCTCAGGATGCACGTATCTGAAGCACACATACATTTTTCACTGGCAGTGAGAGGAGAGGAGATGAGGCATGCTATGTGCCACATGAAGAGAAGAACCAGAACCAGATGTGTGATCTGACTCGGTTTAGACGTAGCCATAGATTAAGCCTGATTGTCAAGGTGCTCCATATCTTATAAAGAATCAATTGAATTGCATTACAAAGGAAGGCTCAAAATAACTTTTTGGGGAGGGCTTTTAATGCAATACGAGAGCCAAATTGCTGAAACAGTGGATTTGGAGTTGGCAGGTGTCTGATTCATGACAGAGATCAGGATAGTAGAAAGCAGCACCCATTGTTAAGTCAATACTTTTAAATTAAAATAGGCGTGGGTGGTTTTAGGTGTTATTGAATTCACTCAATTAAACGTAAACTTGTCAAACATGTCAACATAGTTTTTCGCTCCTTTATTATGTTTTGTGCTAATACTCTGTGCTGTGTGTGGGTGTACAGCTGCATTCCATGGTGGACCTACTGGAGGGGACGCTGTACAGTCTGGACCTCATGAAGGTCCACTCCTACATCAATAAGGTGGTCTCCCAGATGAACACACTAGAGGAGGTAAGGACAAAAGACCAACCTCCTTGTAGAGTACAACAAGTAACACAATAACAAGGACATAAAACAAAAACCAGGGAACACTAGGTTTGCATGCCTTCCTATATACTGTATTTGAGTGTATTTGGGTTCTTGCCAAGCTGTTATAGCTGTATATGGTCCTTATGCAGGACAGAGAGCTGATTAAATGGTTTGTGATTGGATACCAGTGACCCCCCCCCCCCCCCCCTCTAAACGGCATGGTTACAGTATCCACAGAGTTTTCTTTAACCCCCACAGCTATTCACTAGTCAAACAGGAGAAGATGGACTACAGGGGGGAGAGAGAGATTTGTGTGACTGGTTCTCCCAGGTTTTGTGTTTATAATGTTTTTACAAAAGGGGTCTGTTTTCGTTAGCAAGGTTATTTGCCTTTGGTTGGTACAATGGACTGGCCTGAGTCTTAGAACACATCTGTTTCCCCAGACAATCAAGACCAACCTGACTCGGGACAATGAGTTTGTAAGGGACAGCATGATCACTCTGACCAACCAGTTTAAGAGGTATGAGAACTACTCCAACATCATGATGAGCATCAAGAAGCAGATCTCCAGTTTGGGCCTGCAGCTACTGCAGAAAGACCAAACAGAGACCAAAGCTCAGGTAAGTGTGTCTCTCAAACACACACACACACACACACAAAAGCTTGCTCACAAATTACACATCAAACACACAAATCAACGTTCACATGTCCGCTGATGCACCGTAACTCACAGGCTTTAATTGAGTGTCAATGTTTACAGGAAACCAATAATGAGAAAACCAAGGACGCCATAAAAAACCCTAACAAAAAGCCCCCTGCATCCAAGCCCCCTCCCAAGCCGCCCAAGGAAAAGGTCGTAAAACCCAAGAAAGAGGGCACCAAGCCTGGGAAACCTGTCAAGCCTGACCCCACAGCCAAGGCCAAGGTGGCAGGGCACCAGCCGGGGGTAGTGAGGGGCATCACCTACTACAAAGCAGCCAAGGTGGACGGGGACGAGCACGGCACAGTTGGTAAAGGTGAGAGAACAGGTGGTAAAGGTGAGAGAACAGGGGGTAAAGGTGAGAGAACAGGTGGTAAAGGTGAGAGAACAGGTGGTAAAGGTGAGAGAACAGGGGGTAAAGGTGAGAGAACAGGGGGTAAAGGTGAGAGAACAGGTGGTAAAGGTGAGAGAACAGGTGGTAAAGGTGAGAGAACAGGTGGTAAAGGTGAGATAACAGGTAGTAAAGGTGAGAGAACAGGTGGTAAAGGTGAGAGAACAGGTGGTAAAGGTGAGAGAACAGGTGGTAAAGGTGAGAGAACAGGTGGTAAAGGGTGGTAAAGGTGAGAGAACAGGTGGTAAAGGTGAGAGAACAGGGGCCGATACACATGGTCGCCCTGTTCATGACTAAATTTTGCACAAGCATTTCGCTACACCCGCAATAACATCTGCTAAGTATGTGTATGCGACCAATACAATTTTATTTTATTTTATTTGATACAGGGGGAGAGTTGGACCACTCTCTCTCCCAGCCCAGTGTGTGCATGTGTATGGAGCCCCCTCACCCCTAAAGTCAACATTGGGCTGTGACTTCAGCTGAGTTAGCAGCACAGCCTGTATGAGATCATCTGTGTGCTGTTCTAATGTGCTCAGACCCTATTGTGATTGTTCTAAACTAAACCAACTCAAATTACTAAATTATACTCTTGGATCTGATCTACATTACATTATGCTGGATCAGCATTATACCAGACTGTATTTCAGATTCCCAACAGAAACAGATATTGTACGTCTCTATCGCATATTTTCTTTTTTTGTGTAGAGCAAGCCATTAAGATTTGAATGAAATATGTTGTTCTTACACAAGTGTGATAAAAGTGTGTAAATCTTCGTACTATACTCTTGGCATCTTGGAAACGAAACAGTGAAACAGTGAAACAGTGAATCCTTCACCGTGTAGATCACCAGATCCACAGTACAAGATTTATCCTGCTGTTGTTTCCAACAAAGCAGGGCTTGGGCCATCAGAGGATTGAATTGCTTGTGTGCATTCAGCGAGCAGGAAATCCAAATGCTTAAATAATACATAGACCTAATGGAATGTCATTTCAATGGAACATTGCCACATCTATGACATGCCTCAGCTTCACTCCTCGCACACAATGTGTGGAGAACCCTCATCAGTGTGCCGATGAAAGCTGACAAACATTTCCTGACTCCTTACAATCCTAGTTGAATAGATACTGTAGGTATGCTAGATTTTCTCAGGGCACACACGCACATATGCTGTCAGGTCATTTGTTCTGCCATGCCTAGCCGTTTAGCCATACTTTGTTGAGTGCATCCACACTTGTCAACCCAGTGAAGCGATTCAGCTTCGTTTCCATAATCTCTCACAAAGAGCAGTTAGCCTTTATTCAAAGGCAAATGTTAATCAGAAGTCTTGCATCTATTAGATAAAGGACAATGTGGCTTTTGAAGTATCAAGCAACACTGCTTTTCTTTCACCACATACTTTAGAGACCTACAGCACATTCTCCTATCTATGCTGCCTGACTGACTCCTAAGGCTGTCCCTGGCTGTCCCTCTTGTTGTTAGGCCTTCAGTAGATACATGTGGTCAAGTGGTGTTGGACGGCTAGCACCCTGAGGTTCAGAGTGCGCGTGTCGTGCAGATGCGCTGCTTACGTAGCAGGCAGAGACGTTTTATCTCACACATCTGTCTGGCAGCACAGGAAGTGAGAGTATGAGTAACAGAGGGGAGCAGCCTCAGGCTGGCCCACTCCTCCTGACACTATCCTCTGTTCTGCTATACTCTCTCTATGGCCAGGGATAAGAAAATGCCATGTGAGGGCTGTGGAATTCGGAATACAAACAGAGACGCAGAGACAGCGGGACAGACTTGGTAACAGAGGAGGGGACAGAGAAAGTTAGAGGAAGCTGGCATGCTCTGTGTGCTACATAACTAATGCATTCTTCTTTGATGTGGCCCCGGGAAATCTGTGGTACTGTATAGTGTCTGTCTCTCTGACAGAGGTCTCAAAAGCAGCTCATACCGGGCCTGTTTGACTAATTTAGCAAGCTAATTCTAATGAAAACTAGTGAAGACAAGGCCCCTCCAGAATTTGAATCTTCCTCCTCAGGGTAACTAAATCCCAACACTTGTCTTTATCCTCAGACAACGCTGCCAAGACTCACACCGTCCACCATGTCAAAGAGACACACTCTGAGGACGGAGGTGCTGAAATTGTCCTGGAAACCATTGAGGGAACCACAGCTGAGCCGACAACTACCAAAGAAACTGCTGCCACTACCGCAACCACCACCACTACCACGAGCACGACAACAACGGCAGCAACAACAACAGCCAGTACCACAATGCCATCCACTACCACCACCACCACCACCACCACCACCACCAGTGTAGCAAGAGTTGAAAGGCTAGACAGACCAGCCCCCACCATCATGCTGTTCCTAGACAACTCTGACAACAACAGCCGGCCAATCTTACACAGAGCAGGTATCCTGACCTACACAATTGCCTACTGTAGTGTACATTATACTACACCATATAACAACTAAATGTGCTCATTGACAGCAATAGAGACAGTCAGTGCTATGACTCTGTCCAGTTCAGTAACGGATAAACATGTAACGCTTAGCTACCAGAATATGTGTGACCGTGAAATTGGATGATTGAAAACTCATGCAGGCCATTCTTTATCCAGTTTTCGTGTTGACTGTATTGTACTGTACTTGGCAGGGAAGATCCTGGACTGTGAGGGGACCCTGGCCTCTATCGAGCTCCCAGAGAAGCAGCACAGCTACGGGCGGAACGAAGGAGCCTGGATGAAGGATCCCCTGGCCAAGGACTCCAAGATCTACGTCACCAACTATTACTACGGCAACAACCTGGTGGAGTTCCGAAACCTGGACAACTTCAAACAAGGTGGGCATGGCATGGAGATTGAGTACTGTTATATCATTATAATTGTTGTATTTTGTCATTCAATTTCTATGGAGCATGGGGTTTCAACTGTACATCTGTGGAATGAGATCAGTGTGACAGTATTATGGTCTCTATTGATCTGTAGTGACCCATTAAATGTAGTGAGAATAAAGTGACCCATGAAATGTAGTGAGAATAAAGTGACCCATGAAATGTACTGAGAATAAAGTGACCAATGAAATGTACTGAGTATACACTATAGTAGCTTGAGACTCAAACATGCAGGTTTTAGTTGTAATACTGTGCTTTTCATTTCACACACAAAGTTTCTAACCCCCCCTTCTTGCACTAGTACTTGGCGAGAGAAATAGGATTACTCCTCTTAACTGACTGGTTAAAATGATCTCTCTCACAGGACTACTAGTCTGGTTGATTTAGAGGTGTTTGGACAGAAGCTTTTTTTAACTCACATCTTACAAAGCGTACAGAGATTTTGCTATGATATCCAGTAGGGTGGTGAGTTCACAGCAGTGTGCGGATGACTAGGTATCTCTGTGAGTGGCTGTGATCCCTGCCTAGGCTGACATGTGCCTCTCCTTTGAACTGGCCAGAGCTGAGAGGGATTAGAGGCATGGGCTGGGGGAAGGGGGGGGGGGGGGGGGGGATACTGCACTACGGGTTGTTTTTGTCCTTCACTGCAGCTTCATTCATTATCTAAATCCCACTTCCTGAGGTGGAAATGTTAGAGAGCGATGTGACCAGATATGATCATGACACTAATAACAGGACATCTGTGTGGACAGTGGGAGTGGGACAGTCAAACAGAAACTAACCAGTCTCTCATGTGAAACCATTATACATTTATGGTATAACTATTAAACACCTCAATGGTGCCCAGAATGACTTGACAGTACATGTGTATATATAAGATGGCATGATGTTAGCATACTATAAGGGGGGTAACATGATATGCAGTTAGTGCTCACTAAACATCCCTATTTTTGGTCCTGTTAGGTCGCTGGAGCAACCTCTTCAAACTGCCTTACAACTGGATCGGCACGGGTCATGTGGTGTACAACGGAGCCTTCTACTACAACAGAGCTTTCACCAAGAACATCATCAAGTACGACCTGAGGATACGTTACGTGGCCGCCTGGACCCTTCTGCATGACGTGGTTTATGAGGACACCACCCCCTGGAAGTGGAGAGGTCACTCGGACATTGACTTTGCCGTGGACGAGAGTGGGTTGTGGGTGATCTACCCTTCCATGGACTATGACTACTCCCAGCAGGAGGTGATTGTAATCAGTAAGCTGGATCCTGGGGACCTGTCCATGAAGAAGGAGACCACCTGGAGGACGGGCCTGAAGAGGAACTCCTACGGGAACTGCTTCATCATCTGTGGGGTGCTGTACGCTGTGGACGTCTATAACCAGAAGGAAGGGGAGGTGAACTATGCCTACGACACCCACACCAGCTCAGAGGCTATCCCTCGCCTGTCCTTCACCAACGAGTACGCCTACACCACCCAGATAGACTACAACCCCAAGGAGAAAGTCCTGTACGCCTGGGACAATGGACACCAGCTCACATATAACATACACTTTGTTGACCAATGAGCACAGGTGTTTTGTGCTCAGGTAAAGTATCATCAGCATCATGGCAGGGTCGCCATCCCCATAGCGATAAGAGAGATGCTCAGTAATGGACAGTCCAGCAGCACCCATATTGGATTCAGCAGCCAACATTCCTCTTTCAATGCATGCTAACCAAGACACTTGACAGCATACCAGAGTGGTCCTCTGTAGCTCAATCGGTAGAGAATGGCGCTTGTAACGCCAGGGTAGTGGGTTCGATCCCCGGGACCACCTATATGTAAAAATGTATGCACGCATGACTGTAAGTCGCTTTGGATAAAAGCGTCTGCTAAATGGCATATTATTACTATATTATTACCATGCGTCCCATACACAACAATGCTCCTCGTCAATGTGGACACTGTGTTGGTATGTTATTGTAAATCACAGACTGCTCATTTATTCCACCCATTTGATTTTTATGGCCCATCAAGCTCCATCCTATCACTTAGCACTTTGATCATCTGTCATTGTCATTTCAGGCCTATTGATGCTTTAGTTTTTTTTTACATGTATAAATATTGTTGGGTACTGTAGTGTAGTGTGAAATTGTTTATTTTAGTGAGGATGAGGGATGTTTTGAATATACATGAACTGACAAACACAATATACATGAGTTTCTAAACTTAAAATGTTGTACTCGTTTGTAATTTACCAGAAATGTATGCTTAATATCTACATTGATGTTGCTTTACATACATTTTTTATAAAGTCATATGTTCATTTTTGTTTTAATGAAGAGTTACAGTTGTTGCTGCTTGCAAAATTTACAAGTTCACGACATGTGTTATAATCATTTTGGCGTATTTATAAACCACCACCCCTTAGGAAATTAACTGTCATGGAGGTCAATTGTGTAAATGCATACAGATGTACAGTATTGTCTTTTAAAGGAAATATAATCCATGAACCTCTATGACAGTTTCAGCTTTATGGTAAGTCAGAAATGATTATACCTGTATGTAGTGCATGTACTGCCGTTATGGAGAGTTATGAAGACAGCTAATTCAAGTAAAGCTTTGCCTAAATATCTTTTGAGCATTTTACTATCATATTTGATTTATAAAAATACAAAAAACTTTAATTACATACTTATTCTGAATATATTTTGATAGTTCTGTTAATAAGTTTACACAGAAATGTGCACGGCTAATTACAGCACTGCAATTTATTCATATGTAATGTCATGGTGTTTGATTAAATCCTTTCTGTAAGAAATGGTGTAAGTGGAAATCTTATACGACACACACAACCCGTTGTGCTTGTCTCTGTGCTATGGATGAAATAAACAATTCCAGTTTTAAATATCTGCTGTGAGAAGTCCAAATCCATGTGCACAGACAGACCTAGTGGAAGCCATGGGGGAGCAGGACTTCCATGCCCAGTGTTATGTGTTGACAGGATGCAGAATGACTCAATGATTCCTCTTGAGTTTTTTGTGTGTGCTTATCGCTCTCCCTGACTTGTGTTTTGTTCCAGGACAAAGGTCACTCAGCACAGCTTGATTGGGAGTCCAAGTGCACAAAAGGAGCCGGCCTGTCCTGAGGTCATGGTAACAAGGGCAGGGCAGGATGAATGGCTGGCTCGGGGATTTGAAACTGTTCAACTTTAGCTCTGAGCTCCAAGCCAGGCAATGCTGGAGGGAGGAGTGGAAATGTAGCATGAGATGAATGTATAAAGGGTGTGGTCCTCTCATGTGGTCCTCATTTGGGAACACAACCACCACCACCCCCTCAACAACGCTTTTTTAAAGTACAGCTTGGCACACAATGTTGGAGTTTTCATTGCCTAATATAGCCAATACTTTCCATTGCATGATTGAGAGGCACGAATTTGAGTGTAATGATTACTGTTTTATGTTTTTGTTATTGTCTGATTGCTAGCTAACTCTACCGGTACAGTGAGATGCTAACATGTTGTTGTCATGCAACATGGGACATTGATGGCCACCAGGGCTGGCTCTAGCCTTTTGTGGGGCCTAAGCGAGATTTGGTTGGGGGGCCCCCAACCTCGCGGCAAAACATTTTAGTGGCCCCCCTCTTGCCGGTGGAGAGAATTAATTTTGTTTTCAAGTTAATTTCCTGCAATTCTACACATTTTGCTATGGGGCCCAGTGCAGTCAAAAATGTGATTTTCCTGTGTATATTTCCACACTATGAGGTTGGAATAATACTTAGAAATTGTGAACATGATGATAACGCCTTTTTAGTGTAAGAGCTGTTAGAAAAGACCGCCTGAAATTTTTGCCTGTTTTGGTGGGATGGAGTTTGTGCCTTCCATGGTGACATCACCATGTAGTAAATTAGTTAATAGACCAATAAGAAAGAGAGTTCCAAACCTCTCTGCCAATAACAGCTAATTTTCAGTTTTCCCCTTCCCACTCAGACCACTCCCAGACTCCCAGACAGTCCTAGCTAAATTCTTGCTTAAGAAATTGCTCTTTGCTAAGAAGCTATTTTTGTATATTTTTGACCATTTTAATTGAAATAATCACAGTAAGGTACTTAATTGTTACCCAGAAATGATTTGATATTGAAATAAAAACGTTTGCATTGGACCTTTAAAGCAAGTTTTCTGCAATTCTAAACATTTTGCGATAGGGCGGAGAGAAAGCTTTGCAATTTTATATCACATTTCATGCAATTCTACACATTTTGCCATGGGTCAGAGATAACAAATAATTCTGTTTAACAGCTAATTTCCTGCAATTCTACCAATTTTGCCATGGGGTGGAGAGATATTTTTACAGTTTTAAAGCACATTTCCTACAATTTTACACATTTTGTAATGACATGCCATTTTAATATGATATCTGAGTGAAAATGACTAACAAAATTAATGGGAGCCCCCTGGAGGTCAGGAACCCTGGTCACATACCCTGCGTGCCAAGTCGGTATTCTGCCATGATTACTACATGTTTAGATTGCTGGCTAGACTAACTACAAATCTAAAAATTGTTAGCTGACATGGATAATTGAGTGACTATCAGTGACTGACATAACAAGAGAAAAACTGCTGATGCACAACCACATTTTGAAATTGCACCTTGTGTATTCTACTATTCTAATTCTTTTGTTTGTTTTTTTTGGTCGGGGGGGCCCTTAGCGGCCAGGGTCCCTAAGCGACCGCTTATGTCGCTTATGCCTGGAACTGGCCCTGATGGCCACAGTTTTGTAATGAAGAACAGTGACAATTCAGATGAACCAGGGTGCTAATGTCCCCTTGTCTAACACAAAGACTCTCCTGTTACTCAAAGTGATCCTGTTCACAGGGCCTCCTGCTCTGGTGATGACCCTGTTCACAATCTCACTCCAAATTGACCGTGTTTAATTAGGCTCAAATATGCAGGTCACTGTATCCTTAGTGTCACAGGACTGGAGATCACCTGAGTCTGTTGATAAAAGCAGCGGATGTGTAGCTATATGGATTGGGTTAATGTTGAGCAATCTTGTCCTTCAAGACCCTCTACAAGGCCTTTTCCAACTATGATGTCATACACAACCACTGTAGAGACCTTTGCATGTTCTACCAACATCTCCAGCTCCACACCCTGCTTTAAACGACTACACTGAGACCTGTCAGTATATTAGTCTCACTGTGGACATAAAGGAAAAGCACATATCCAGCTAAGAAAACCCCAGGTTCACTGAGCTCTGGAACATAAGAAGAGAAATGACATGATGATTTACGGGCAGATAGTTTGTGATCTGTTGCAAATCATAAGGCCAGAGACTTTTCTGGCACATAAACTTTAAGTGAGGTTGACAAGAACAATTAATATCTTGTTTAAAAACATAAGTTGGGAGAGTTAAGCAACGATTGACAATTGAATCTGAGGCTGAGCTCATCCAATAGTGCTCACCAGCTTGTAGTCCTAAAAAACAGAAATTAGGTACCTCTGGTTTGTTCAGCCATTCCTATGGGGAAAATTAACTGGAAAAGAATAGGTTTTGGTGAAAATAAGGTCTGAGGTTAACACAGGCTTAGGAGATCTTATACAAAACATTACCGAAAGTATGTGGACACCTGCTTGACGAACATCTAATTTCAAAATCATGGGCATTCATATGGAGTCATGGGCTGCAATAACAGCCTCCACTCTTCTGGGAAGGCTTTCCACTAGATGTTGGAACATTGCGGTCGGGGACGTGCTTCCATTCAGCCACAAGAGCATTAGTGAGGTCGGGCACTGATATTGGGCGATTAGGCCTGGCTCGCAGTTGCAGTTCCAATTCATCCCAAAGTTGTTCGATGGGGTTGAGGTCAGGGCTCTGTGCAGACCAGTCAAGTTCTTCCACACCGATCTCAACAAACCATTTCTGTATGGACCTCGCTTTGTGCACGGGGGCATGGTCATGCTGAAACAGGAAAGGGCCTTCCCCAAACTGTTGCCACAAAGTTGGAAGCACAGAATCGTCTAGAATGTCATAGTATGCTGTAGCGTTAAGATTTCCCTTCACTGGAACTAAGGGGCCTAGCCCGAACCATGAAAAATAGCCCCAGACCATTATTCCTCCTCCACCAAACTTTACAGTTGACACTATGCATTCGGGCAGGTAGCGTTCTCCTGGCATCTGCCGAACCCAGATTCGTCCGTTGGATTGCCAGATGGTGAAGCGCAATTCATCACTCCAGAGAACGCGTTTCCACTACTCCAGAGTCCAATGGCGGCGAGCTTTACACCACTCCAGCCGACACTTTGCATTGCGCATGGTGATCTTCCAGAGGCAGTTTGGAACTCGGTAGTGAGTGTGGCAACCGAGTACAGAGGATTTTTAAGCACTACGAGCTTCAGCATAATTTTGGCCATGTAGAGTATGTTTTGTTCTGTGAGATAATATCAGTCAGTTAACATGACCTTTATGAGCATTTATGTGTTTTTTTTAAAATTACATAAATGCTTTACAATTCAAAGAAAGTGACGCTTGCTTATGAAAATTATCTCATAGAACAAAACGTATAAGATCTCATAAGCCTGTGTTTACCACAGACCTTATTGTATGCGTTTGAATTTCTGATAGCATATTGCTATCACATTCCGCCAGTACTGACTAAATGAAATGTGTTGAGGAAACTGAGTTCATGAAAGCTTATGCTAGTCCAGAGCAATATGTTCAGCCTCAGCATGACTTGAATGAATATCCTGTAGGCTATTTCCTGCAGCCAGCCAGTCAGTCACTTGAAAAGGAGTTGATTGAGCAG